CTAACATGATTAGCATGTTACTAGCATGTTGTTAACATGATTAGCATGTTATTAGCATGGTGTTACCATTTTGTTAGCATGAGTAGCAAGTTACTAGCATTTTTCTAGCATGTTGTTAGCATGACTAGCAAGTTACTAGCATGATTCTAGCATGATTAGCATGTTACTAGCAAGATTTTAGCATGATTAGCATGTTACTTGCATAATGCTAGCATGTTTCTAACATGTTTAGAAAGTTACTAGCATGTTTCTAGCATTATTAGCAAGTTACTAGCATGTTGTTAGTATTATTCTAGCATGATTATCAAGTTACTAGCATGTTGTTAACATGATTAGCAAGTTAATAACATGTTTCTAGCATGATTAGCATGTTTTAGCATGATTAGCAAGTTACTAGCATGTTGTTAACATGGTTAGCAAGTTACTAACATGTTACTAGCATGATTCTAGCATGATTAGCATATTGGTAGCATAATGCTAGCATGTTTCTAACATGATGAGCAAGTTACTAGCATTTTGCTATCATGGTTAACATGTTACTAGCATTTTGTTAGCATGATTCTAGCATGATTAGCATATTAATAGCATGTTGCTAGCATGATTAGCAAGTTACTAGCATGATTAGCATGTTAACAACATGTTGCTAACATGATTAACAAGTCACTAGCATGTTTTGCTAACATGTTTCTAACATGTTAATAGCAAGTTGCTAGCATGATTAGCATGTTACTAGCATGTTGCTAGCATGTTTCTAGCATGATTAGCAAGCTACTAGCATGTTGCTAGCATGATTAGCATGTTACTAGCATGTTTGCTAGCTTGTTTCTAGCATGATTAGCATGTTACTAGCATGTTGCTAACATGTTTCTAGCATGATTAGCATGTTACCAGCATTTTGTTAGCATGTTTCTATGCTAATACTGTTAAAACCAGCTAAAAACAGTTGATTCAGTAAAAAAAACAGCTTAAGGGGCCGTTCACATATCGCGTCTTTTGCGCGCTCAAGTTTGTTATTTCAAATGTAGACGCGTGGCAGGCACGCTCATAATGGAAGCAACGCGGTCACGCCTGGAAAAAATGAACGCGTCGCACCACGTGCGCGTCACGCTAGCGCCCGAACGCTTTGGGAAAAAGCAGAAAGCGGCGCGCCTAGCGTTTTCCACGCGTTTTAGGCGCGACATGTGAACGGCCCCTAAAACCAGCTAAACCCAGTTGATTCAGTAAAAACCCAGCTAAAACCAGCTTAGGCTGGTTGCCTAATGTTAGCTGGTTTAAGTTGAAAATATCTGGGTTAAGCTTGGTTGGTATTTTAGTAGGACTCACAGCTTTACCAGCTAAGACCAGCCTGACCAGCTAAAAAGTTGCCAAAACCACTTTAAAACCAGCCTGGGAGACCAGCCAAAGCAGCCAATCAGCTTAGGCTGGTTTTAGCTGTTTTTTCAGTAGGGAGTTTTTAAGCTTTGCTATGGCAGTAGACAGCTTAAAACACCATAAGTCTCATTGTATAAAAGTGTTCACACCCTCAATGAAAGTCTATGAGATTTTAGGTGGTTTTCATGGTCTGGTTTACGAAAGCCATTAGTTGGATCAGTTAGACAAGATATTGCACAAGGAGTCAGACCAGTCTGAAGGTCTGATCCGAGTTTGGTGGTTGTAGCTTGAAAGCTGTAGGAGGAGATAGTGTTTACATTTTGGCTCAGCAGAATAATAATAAGTTTAAATAGTAGATCAGTAAGTTGGCTTTCTCAAGCCAACTTAAATACAGTAAGCAACATCTACATTCTGGCTGATTATCCAAGTTATTTTTTTTAACGTAGTGCGTTATGCTGCTTAATATTGAAGACTGATATTTGTTATATTATAAATTTAATTACAGTTTACTGCACTTTGTTTTTCTTCTAGTTAGTAGGAGGAAAAAGATTAAACTAAAGAAAAATACATTCGCTAAGCACACCTTTCTCTTACTTCCACACTCCATGTCGTAAATAAACACATGATAGTGTTTTGTAGTCTTGCTGATGTCACATGTTCCCAGTTTTAACTCGGACTGAAAGCCGTCGATGCCTAAAATGTGTTTGTGAACTTTAACGATCATTTTCTTCATTTGACAAACGACGTGATCGACCGCGGCCGCGGAGGCCTATAGAAGCCCGCCTGCAGCAGGTACTGTGTGGTGCGCGGAAGGAGGACTTTTTTCGCCTCATCGGGCAGTTGTTCACGACCTGATCCATGTATCGGAGAGAACTGCTTTGTCCAAAAGAGGGATTCTAGAATGCTGGAAACGGGAAGTTGTAAATATGGCGAGCCGAGACTCTTGACAGCAGATCCGTCGAAATCTTCTCCAAATCTTATGTCCAGTGCTGCTGAGGTCGAATTGCTCGCGTGCTTCGGCGCAGCTCGTAGCGCGTACACACACATAGGCTATGTGGAGAAAAAGACCAGTAAAGTAAATATTGCTGGGAAATAAAGCTTCATATCTCTAAACAGCATGAAATAAATTGTAACAGTCGCTATCTCACTCAAACAGTGTTTGTATCCTTGACATATTTCACATAGCTGAAACGGATAATTAATGCACCTGTCAGCTGTTACAAGCACTAGTGCTGCAAGACAGATTCATTTCCGCGAATCGGTTCTTTCGAGCAGGTTTTTTAAATGTATTGCAAGTATAAACACTTAACTTCAACAATTAATGCAACAATGGATTCTTTCGAGCAGGTCTCAAAACAGATTCAGCGCATTTTACGTCACGAAATCGGAGACGTATTTTTTTATTTTATTTTTACATTATTGAGTTAACATGGGAATACAGACATAGGCAAACATAAATAAATGAAACAATGAAAGCAAAGCTTTTTCATCTTATATGAAAAAATACGTCTAATACATGACTAGAGGTAACAGTTCAGTAGCCATAAGTTTAAATAGTAGATCAGTAAGTTGGCTTTCTCAAGCCAACTTAAATACAGTAAGCAACATCTACATTCTGGCTGATTATCCAAGTTATTTTTTTTAACGTAGTGCGTTATGCTGCTTAATATTGAAGACTGATATTTGTTATATTATAAATTTAATTACAGTTTACTGCACTTTGTTTTTCTTCTAGTTAGTAGGAGGAAAAAGATTAAACTAAAGAAAAATACATTCGCTAAGCACACCTTTCTCTTACTTCCACACTCCATGTCGTAAATAAACACATGATAGTGTTTTGTAGTCTTGCTGATGTCACATGTTCCCAGTTTTAACTCGGACTGAAAGCCGTCGATGCCTAAAATGTGTTTGTGAACTTTAACGATCATTTTCTTCATTTGACAAACGACGTGATCGACCGCGGCCGCGGAGGCCTATAGAAGCCCGCCTGCAGCAGGTACTGTGTGGTGCGCGGAAGGAGGACTTTTTTCGCCTCATCGGGCAGTTGTTCACGACCTGATCCATGTATCGGAGAGAACTGCTTTGTCCAAAAGAGGGATTCTAGAATGCTGGAAACGGGAAGTTGTAAATATGGCGAGCCGAGACTCTTGACAGCAGATCCGTCGAAATCTTCTCCAAATCTTATGTCCAGTGCTGCTGAGGTCGAATTGCTCGCGTGCTTCGGCGCAGCTCGTAGCGCGTACACACACATAGGCTATGTGGAGAAAAAGACCAGTAAAGTAACCCTGCTGCCAGTATATTACCGTTAATTTACAAAAAAGCCGTAATTCAGAATACCGTAATAAAATTGTAAAATTACGGTACACTCCTGGAAACCCTGCTGCCAGTATATTACCGTTAATTTACAAAAAAGCCGTAATTCAGAATACCGTAATAAAACTGTAAAATTACGGTACACTCCTGGAAACCCTGCTGCCAGTATATTACCGTTAATTTACAGGGAAATTTTTTACAGTGTAAGTTCGTGCAAGGTGGCGCCTTTTTCAAAAAATAAGGTTTTTAACTTACCAAGTTCTAAGCTATTGCTTGGTCTATCATTATTTTGTATCAATATTTTTTCTGTTTGTGTTTGACCTTTCTGATTGTTATTTATGCATTAAATACAATAATAAAATGATCTAGTTGCTATTGAGTTTTAATGGTACCCATATTGGTGAGGTCTAATCCCTGCGAAAGCATTTTGGTCTGATGTGAACACCTGGAGACATACAGTAGGACTGCCGAATCTCACAAGGCAGCATAACAGGTTAGGTTACCAAAATCTGTTACCCTTTATTTTGCACAGAATGGCTTTAATGCTCCTCAAAATTTACTCTGGTGATGTCTAAACTCCTCGGTTTTATATCCTAAAAAGCATATTACTGTGAACAGCAACAGACATATAACAGGGTCACCAAATCTGACAGCACAGTATTAAAAGTTACCAAAATCTATTAACCCTCTTTATTTCACACATAATGGCTTTAATGGTACCTACATTTACTCTGCTGATGTTTAACCTCCTCGGTTTTATATCCTAGAAAGCATTTTTGTCTTATGAGAACAGATGCAGATATACAGTAGTCAACATTTGAAGTGGATCAAAAAAGTTCATCAAAGTTGTCAAGAACACATTTTGGTTGTAGGTTTTAGGACAACTTTGATGAAAGGTTTTGATCCACTTCAAATGTTGAGTAGTGTAGTCACCAAATCTGACAAGGCAGTGTAGCAGGTTACCAAAATCTGTTACACTAATGATGTCTTGTAGTGATGTCTAAACCTTTCATCTGTATTTTAAAATGCATTTTGATCTCATGTGAGCAGCTATAAACATACAGCATGGTTATCAAATCTGACAGTACATTAGAGATTACAGAAATCCGTTACTGCTCTTTATTTTCACATATGTGTTGATTGTCCTACTGACTCCTACATATATTTATTCACATGTCTAATCTGTTCGGTTTTATTCCTGTGATTTATGAACACATTTAGACAGAGGATCATCATGCAAAAAACAAAACAAAAAAAAACTTAATGGTCTTAAAAATCAATTACATTTTCTTTATGCATTTGTATTTTTTTGATTTGGGGGGTAAAATATGAACTGTGAGATTAACCCTTTAAGAATAAGTCATTCAATGACAGGCATCAACGAGGTCACAGGACATTAGAAAAAGAAAAATTATCAATCAAAAATGTTTTAATATTCTGATGACATTACAGTTAATGTCAGCATCGTACTTCGAAGAGTGTATGAATGCATAAATTTCAATACAAGTACAGAAAAAGTGACGTATTGAATTCAGTTGAATCCATAAGAAAAGTATACCGAGATCTTTTGCCCCACAGATGCAACTTCCAAAAAGGTCAATCAAAGAACCTAAATGAGAAATAAACACTTGAAAATATAAAGGATCTGTTATTAAAATGGCAGCTAAATTCATAATAAATGAATTAAACGGTCATACCTTGGAGACCCTGGAACGACCTCAAAAGTCAGTCCTCCATTTCTCCCACATTGGGTTAGTTAATGTTCATCTTGATGCCACTCCATTGGTTCATGTTTGGCATTTAAAAATATCTCTTCATCCATCAACATTCGTGTTGATATTGTGCTTTGTACATGCATGTTTTCCTCAAAATCTTCAGGCTGTATTTTATCTTCGGACAGTTCTTCTCTGGTAAAGTGAATCATTTCTTGTGCTCCACTCTTGTTGGATGCTTGGTCATTAACATATCCCAAAAGCTCTTCGATCAACTGAACGCTAGGCTGTCCAACATTATCGGTTCTATTTGTGCTCTTGTGTCTCCCAGCATCCTCTCCGATCTTTACATCCCCGTTCTTCTGCTCCTCAACAAGCATTACTTTTCCAGAACCATCACCATTTTTATCCTTTAACTCTGTAGCAGTTGTTTCCTCTGTCCCAGCAATTACTTCTACATCCTCATCTAAATCATTCATGGGCACCTTTTTATTTTTCTCTTTTGCTTCCATTTGTTCTTCAGTATTAGTCACAATCTCCACAGTGTCACCATCTTCTTCCTCTTCATCGATTCCTTCCACACTCTTGAACTTCATCCTTTCTGTGTCCTCCTGAACTTTGACCCATCCTTCCATAGTCTTGATTAAAGATTGTTCATTTTTGTCCAAAATCCAGGGTTTGCTTGTTATAGATTGTGTCACATGGGGCAAAGAAGCTGTTATGGAAGCAAGAACAAAACACTGATGTGTGACAGTGTTTTCATTTGATAATCTCTGATGTTTTCTACCTACAAGCTGATTTAATTTCACATGCGGAATCACAACAAGCACAAGCAGATGCATCGGTGTAGAGTTCCTCCCACCTGTTGGTACAGGATAAGAACTAAGAGTGAATGCCGCTTCTCTGCATTGACACAGTATGTGTGAAACACAATTACTCACCTTCTCTTTACACGGTTATAGGTACATGACTTTGCTGTGGCACTTGTAGTGGCTCTGTGAACCGATATTGTGCAATGCAGGAAAAAGTACTGTAAAAATGAGTAAATATGGCATCAACACACACATTTATGTAATATTTAAACATGCCTACATATTAGACAGGTGAAGGATGTCATGTCATGTTTTACATGCTGTAATTTCTACTCATTAAAAACTATTTTTGTGGTTTCATACATTAAAAAAAAAAATAATAATAATTCACTTAGTTTTGTTTTATTTCTTTCAAGTTTTATTGTTTACAATTTGCTGAAAATGCTGTTAAATACTCGGACATGTTACGTCATATGGAGAATGGCTTTTTATTTTAGATAAATATTCTGGAAATTATTCTTTTCAAATCAGTGAATCAATGTCAATTCACAGCAGGATCCCTTTATAGGTCAATGCGTGTAATATTAATTTCCCCCCCCAGGGCAATGAAAGTTTCAATATTCCATACAAAAATGTTATATTCCACAAGTTATGTGCAGTCAAGACTTCAAGGTATGAAAATATGAATAAACCCAATTTCAAACCCAACCTCACACTACAAATAATCTCTGGAGTTAAAAGCGTGACAGCTAGCCCCAGCCTCTCCTATTGACATTTATTTTCAATGAAAACATTACCGTGCCAGTAACTTGGGGGAGTAAAAAGGCGTCGACTGAAAACCTTATAATGTTCGACATTCTTCGGAGAAAGCGTGACAATATTTGTTTTAAACCAGGAAGGCGAGCCAATGGATATCACACAAGCTACGTGCAAACTTTGCATAAGAGTTATGAGGTGAACCTCTTAATTTCAGTCCATTCACTAGAAAGTGAAAGTAAAAACTGATGGCGCTTTCGGCATCTGACACTGCATTAAAAGCGCAAATTTTCTCAGAGACGATGAGAGACAAATCTACTTCATATGCTGATAATGGTATATACAGCAGCTAAATGTTTTAATTTACTCCCTTAATATTTATATAATATTAATATTTTCTAATATTAAATTTTTTTTTTTTTTTTAAATAAAAAAAGAGAGAAGAAACGTAGGCTATTTCGTGTAAAATAAATAAATAAAGAGAGAAGAAACGTAGGCTATTTCGTGTTAAACAGGTTTTTTTTTATTTATTTTTTTTTAAAGTCGGTGCTTGAAATAAAGCTCCTTTTTTTTGATGATTGCAGTGTTAATAATTTTAATTAGGTCTATAATTCATTGTATAATAAACCTGTTTTGAAAGACCTTTTTAAAAACATTTTCAATAAGGAGTAAGCTAGCCTAATCTTTATTATCATCGCAGCGCATCAGTTATGCGGTGATGCACTATGAAATTATTGCGGGGCAAATTAATTGTAATATTAATTTAATAATAAAAAGTAACTTAATAATATTAATAGGCCTAATAATCAGAATAATGTAACAGGCCTACATTCACTGAAAATTAAACCTGTTTTGAAAGACCTTTTTAAAAACATTTTCAATAAGGAGTAAGCTAGCCTAATCTTTATTATCATCGCAGCGCATCAGTTATGCGGTGATGCACTATGAAATTATTGCGGGGCAAATTAATTGTAATATTAATTTAATAATAAAAGTAACTTAATAATATTAATAGGCCTAATAATCAGTATAATGTAACAGGCCTACATTCACTGAAAATCCCAAATTAGATATAACTAAAGTGTATACAATTATTTTATTCAGATTATTTTATTATTATTTTTTTTTGTGTCAATTCGTTATTTAAATGGTCTACAAATAAGGAAACAGGTGCAGTTAATCGCAGGCGTCAGTCATAAAGTTTATAGACCTGGCTATATATAAAAAAAATAGGCTAATCTTTGTGAGGACGACTGGCAACAGCTGGTCTTAAATTCTTTAGACACCGCATACCAAACGACTTTGAACACCGACTGAAAACACTGGCTGAGCTCAAATGACATAATCGGCCTGACAGTATATGTTTCCCGGCTTCACAGAATGAACCGGTTCGCGCCTGGAACTAAAAAGTCTTACCGTTACTTGCGGACTGATGGACGGGCTTTCTCCCTCTCTTCAGTGCCAGTTTTTAAAAGTCTTTTTTTTTTTTTTTTACAGAATTATGCATTGCTGCTGTTTTTATAACATTTTCTAACACACAGCTGCAAATTACAGTCCAACTGAATGGATGACCACGCACGAATTTACATGCGCGACATGCCAGAAACAGCCTGGATAACAATTGGCTAACACTGCTGTCAGTCAAACTCATCAAGAATTATGCAAAAACATATGATTTATTTTAGTTATTTGAGATGTTATAATAGTTCTCTAATTGTGTTAAAAAATATGAAAATGTTTTTTTAACAAATATTATATTTCTATAATAAACTGGGGGGCCCGTCACTGCCCGTCAGGCCCGTCCGCTGCCTACGCCCCTGGTCCACCTTCAGGTCATGGTACAATTGTCTTTTTGCTGAGAAATCTTTACTTATTTTTAAAAAGTAACTTTAAAATAATCTTTTATATTGTTCGTTATATTTAAAGACGAACAAGCAACTTAGGTTTACTTGATTATCAATACATCATTTTTAGAAAAATCGTGTTAAAATGCGATCAGCTGAGACACATTGGGGAACATTTACTTGTATATTGTATTGCATTACATTACACTATGTTTTGCCCCTCACAATAAAAACTACAGAGCTTTGATTATATTACGCAGGATTTAAATACCATCTTAGTACATATTATTGGGAGATATAGAGTGACAACTATTTATATGCATTTTATTTAAGTATAGTCTGCTATTTAAGTACTCTTGCAATGCTTGCAAGCTGTCAGAATTTCATCTTTCTTTTCTGCCATATAAATATCAGCAACTGAACAAATTGCATATTTTTGCTCAGTTTGGGCCTCTAAATAATACCGAGCTAGTTTTTCCTCAAGTGTGAGCCATAAAAGCCTGGGCCCGTATTCACAAAACATTTTATCTTACCACTAAGAGTTCTCCTAAATGGCAATAAACGTTTTTAGCTAAGAGTTTTCTCTTAAAACCTATTCACAAAGCTGCTGAGACAAACTTTTACTAAGGAATAGACAGAAGTCTTAAGTTAAGAGTAAGGGCGGGGTTGACCTTGTTGCTATAGATGATACTTACTAACTGCACACAGTGATTGGCTGATAGTCTCTGTCAGAGATATATATTTATAGAAATATTGTAGAGGGCAATGTTATGTTGCCATATTCAAATAAAGGTTTTAAAATGCAGGCTAAGTGTCACCAATTAAACAAGTAGGCTATATATTCAGCTAATTGCCAGCCTCTTATATGTATGCTTCTCATAAACAATTAGTCAATATGCATTAGGGCTGCCCTCGACTAAAGATTTTTCTGGTCGACTAGTAGTCGTTCATTTTAAGCATTAGTCGACTATTAGTCGCACTTTTATTAATAAACCATATAAATCATAATAATGAGCCTTTAATACATAGCTAATAAGCGCTCAAGCGCACGCAAAAAAGGCTTGCCACAGCGCACCGGCAAATATAATAATTATGAATGTGTTAGGGAAAAACAGCAAGTACCCTGCATTAACATTTTAATAACACTGACTCGTCATCTCCGCAGTATGGGCCTGTATGCACGTTTCATACGCATTACATAATCTGAGAATATTTGTTTTCTATTTGAATTGGTTCATTTAAAAGTTTCACTCTCTATAGATATATTTTTCATGTCTGTAATAAGGCAAGCATACACGGAGTTTCGAAGTGACGCGCTCAAGTTCACAGAGCGAGACGGCAGAAAGCGCATCCTGTTTGCTTTCATTAGGCCTATTTTACAAAAGTGCAACTTTTCGTTGTTATTCTGAGTGCACACGAATAAACGTAGAGTCTTTACAGATACAAAAGATGCATTACTCTTATCTGTATGACCAAAAATGA